GTTTGTACTTTACAAGATACTTTTTAACCTCATTACCCTTTACAGATTACTGTAATGAGTGCACATGTACTAATATACTGCATTTTTAGATAGTGAATTTGTGTTAAAACAAAAATCAATATCATAAAACAATGACTGATTAGAACAGGATGAAAAACTCGTTTACAGGTTCACATGCTGAGCTATGACTCTTAACTGCACATGCACAAATCCGTGTAATACATAGTATAAAAAAAATTGTTGTCAGATATATTTCACAGACTTTTTATACTGACACGTTTGCCTTTAACATAGATTCTTAGGGTACCCTAGAATTGCTGCAATTATACTATTTATTACCCATCTAAATTGGCACATTCAAATTTTGCATGTTTGAAACAAGTTAAGCTACCAGCACAGGCAATATTTCCCAGACATCTATATTAGGCAGCTCATTTGATTTACTGCTATGCTACTAATTGTTCATTTACCACAGTTAACTCTCCTGCTTTTGTTCAGAGTTCTATGAGCCCTGACCGCTAAAATGTTGGTAGGCAATTCTTTGGCCACCAGTTTAATGTTCTGTTTTTGAAGCAGTGTCACCTAGTAAATAGAGTACAGGGTAAAGACTTGGAAGATGCAGATTGTATGCCAGCTCTGCCACTGGTCGTTAGGGTGACTTTGGACAAGTCACTTCCCCCTCTGAGCCTGTGACCCCATCTGTCAAACAGAGATAGTGAAATTGAGGAAGTTCATATGAGTAAATCTCAAAAGGATTTTATGGAGAAAATACTGTATAAAATACCTTCCATATTATGGTAGTTTTAGAGTGATGTTGTAACTGTGAGGGTCCAGGAATTATGTAAGAAACAAGGATTTCTTTGGGTGAAACATCTTTTATGAGACAAAATGCATAGTTGGGATAGAACTAGACAAGCTTTCAAATGCAAAACATTATCCGACAAGTGTCTTGCATTCAAAAGCTTGTCCAACTCTATCCCAACTGTGCAGCTGGTCCATCAAAAGATATCATCTAAAGAAACCATCGCCTTCCATAAAATACTATCGTTTCAGTTGTGCAGTTTTCTTACACAGCCTTTCCTACATAGACACCTTTAAAAAAAAAAAAAATCAAAATTAAACATACTGAGGAGTTTAATGTAGGTAAAAGGTGTCAGCCTAGCAGCCCCAGATACTGAAGCATTGTAGCCCCAGAGCAGGCATACAGCAGGTGGTGCCAGCTCCTAAACCAGGAATGCAAGTTGGTATAGCTCTAGTAGGAAAAAAAAGTTGATAATAGCAACATTCAAAATTTTAATACAGAAACAAAGGGTTGAAAAAATCCTGACAAACAGCCACTCGCTAAGAAAACACTTGACATGTCCTCAGATCATTTCATATTAGTAATATTTGGTTTCTCCTGACCCAGCAAGCCAGAGATGCTAGCCTTCAGTTCTCATTACCAATTTCCTGGGAATCATTCTTTATCAATGTCTTCACAATTTGTCCAAGCTTGATCTCTTCATATTTACCAGACAAAGTGACTGAAGAAGATATTAACCAATTCTTCTTTGTTTCATATATATTCAGTGTATTAAACCCCACACAGTCTGTAAAGCTACAGCAGTGGCTTTACAAATTGTATACTGGGTTTAGTATGCTGAACATGCACTAATTCAACACATCATCTTTTCCTAAAGAGAAAGTTAATCCATAGTTTAAAAAATTTGGGGCAATTTCTAGTACATCTTTTAAACATGGGTGCTTTCTTCTTTAGTACAGTTTGCAATATCTTGCATGACATTTAATGAGGTTTCCCTGCACAGATTTTTTAAACAAAAGCTGACTTTTGTGTTTACTTAACTTTTCAAGTAATTCCAAATTTCCTCCAATCAAACCTGCCCGAATGATTTTGACTAGAATTTATTTCCGAAGGCAGTTTATTTTATTTCCCTATAAAATTCAATTAGTAACAGAAATAATTTGAAACATATTAAAAGTGATCAACCCCCTAACATTTTAATATTCTTAACCACATAGGTCATGGGCAAGTAGAAAAAAAAATAAATAATAATAAGTCACAAATCTGACGTGCAAGGTAAGCTGGAAAAAAATAGGATATCTGATATGATCACTTTACTAAAAAGAATAAATATGCAATAAGCAGAATAAAGTTAGTCACAGCATAATTATATATACACTTATCCTAGGATTTCAGCATGATAATGGTGCTTAGCAACACCTGTTCCATTTTAAAATGTCTCAGCTGAAAAACTCATTATTTCTGTTACCAAAGTGGCATATTTCCTAGCAGGCTAGAGCTGTCTTGGGTCTTCAGATCTCTGGTAGTCACTACAAATTCATCCAAGGACTCCAAGTAAATGACACCAAGGCACAGATCTCCTATCATTATTATTTTCAGAAATCTAGTTTAGGAATGGGGCTTTAAAAGCCAGTACACCTGTAGGAGAAGGCAACATTTGTTTTAGCTGTTCATTACTTCCCTTTCATTGAGAATACTTTCTCTAGATTGCAGTCATTCCTAGAACAGAGCCATGGGGAGATCTAGGATTTTGAAGACGGGCATGCAGCTGTTAGGGTGCATTATCACATAATACAAAACACATTTTTTCTCCAGTTAAAAGGAAACTAGATTTATCAATATGCTAGGGGCCGTTATTTGGTTTAAGATCAAAGCAAATATAGCTTTATTGGAACATGTACTAATTTGTTAGTTTTACAAATCAAAGTTAAAAAAAAGATACAAAGATACTGTTTTATTAGTCCTGTAGTCATTACAGTTAAATGCATCTCTCTTACTCAGACATATAAAACAAATCTAGCCTTCTTGAGAACTTTGACTGTACATTCAACACTTTGCTGTCTTTTCACCTGAATTAATATTACTACATCTGAGTTAAGGTTTTTAGCTAGAACTAAAAACCAGTCTTCAGGGATATGAAATGGAAGAGATATATTACCAGGAATAGCCAACAGGCAGCACAACTGCAGAAAAAAAAAAAAAAAAGGATAACTTGATTAATGGAACATTAAGACCATTAAAGGGAGAGAGGGCCATTTATACCTATGGAGTGAAGAGAGATTAGCAGGAATCAGGTACTTTAAAATGAGCCATGAAGTTAATTGACTCCCTCAGCACTGCCTGAAGAAAAATGCTGCTCTTTTCTAGGCACTGGGCCTTAAAGCTTGGTGAAGCAGAAATCAAAGTGGGATACAACTGTACAATTACATTCCCCCAACTCCCCAATCTGCCCCTGCAGAGCACAGTTAAGGAGGCTCAACAGCACAAAGCTGAAACCAACAGCTGTCCAGGGCTACTAGATACACTTATTTCTAGTTTGGGAGGGGTGAGGGTAGGGGAACATACAGGTTTCCCTCGCTTTATGAGGGTTCTGCATGTGCGAATTCATTCTTGTAACAAATTTTTGGTATGAAAAGGGTCATTGCATATGTGAGGTAAATTCACTCTTAGCAACAGGTATGGTAGAAACCCACAGTCAGCTGCTCTGTGAGGTGCATTGTGGGAGTGACACACACCACATATATAGTCTCCTGTGTGGATCTGTGCTCCTCACTTGTTGTCTGCAACATGTCTTTCTGTAGTTGACATCCCCATTATGGTAACATCCCTATTTGTTACACTGCAAAGTGAGTTCCCTTTATGTGAATTTGAGTTATGCACCATTGTCCAGGAATGCATGTACAACATAAAACGAGGGAAACCTACGTTCAGAAAAACAGTCCATCACCTATCAGAGACAGTGCCAGATATTAAGTTATATATACTGTTAGGTAACAAAAATGTCACTCCAACATAAGTACTTAAGAAGTGAAATGACTGAAAATGAATTAATTCATGGAATCCGTTTTACTGCTTAAGTCTGCATTGTCCTTCAGGTTTCATAAAACTTTGTTTTAAAGAAATTATAAGGATGCTACTGGAAAATGATATAGTTCCTGAAACTGAACTAAAAACAAATTGCAGGTAAAAAAAAACAACACAAGCCCCTGAGCCTCTCAGGCTAGTTTTGGTGGCTTTACTTGTTATCTTTATTACCATCATACTCAAGGACAAGGTCCATCTCTGCTAAGCACTATGTAACAGCAGGACAAAAAGGCAGCCCTTACCAGACAAGGTTTACAATGCAAATGTAAGACAAGAGAACAGATGGAGGAATGTGGAAACAATGAGACCACATTAATCAGGGCAACAGAGCAAATCTCAGAACATCATTTTATTTGTTTCTCTGTCCCCAATTCTTCTCAAAACCCTCACTAAAACAGACGAGGAAAGTTTCTATTCAAAGAAAGTTCTTGAAAGCAGCCACATACTATGCAACTGCAAGAGCACAAAAAAAGAGAGAGATAAATCTCTCCCTCTTGTAACTGCTGCTGCTGGTTTTTTCCCCTCCCTACTCACAGGCCAACTCAGGCCCTAAACTGGAACTACAAACAGCGAAAGACTCCTGATAGAAACACGGTTTGACTAGCTTAACATCGTCCAACTCAAGCCTAGATTTTCCCCATGGTTCCAGCTAGATACTGGATTTCCCCTGCCTGGCCCCACACCAGGGCAGCTCACAGGCCGCGCGGGAGGCGGAGAAGTAGCCGCAGACAAGTCGCCCTGGCGAGGCAGTCACTGCCCAGAGGAGCTGCAGGCGCTAGGAGGGTCAAGGACTGCGCCAGGAAACGGCGCGTCTCTCCCACAAAGCAGCCACACTTCAGCACCGGCTGTGGGACCCCTGCAGCAACACCTGCTGGGCTGCGGTCCAGACCCGGCCGGCTGCGGGCGAGGGACCCCAGGCAGCGCCCTGGGGGTGACAGCCTAAACCACCCCCCAGCACAAAGCCGGCGGGAGCAGAGGCCGTCGGGTCCAGGAGCGGAGCCCCCGCGCCCCGCAGCCCGGACTCCTCCCGGGGACAGCAGATTCGCCCCCAGCAAGGGCGGGCGCGGCAGGGGGGCGCATGCGCCCTGCGGCGGCGGTGGAGGGCAACGCTCACCTGCGAGTCCCGAAACTCCACCACCACGTTCTCGCTGCTCCAGCGCGCCGCCATCTTGGCCGCCCGGAGCAACAGGCGACGCCGGGAAGAGGAAGCGCGAGGGCTGCTGGGAGCTGTAGTTCGCTACGGGCTACATGACCGCAGGCAGCAGGTTTAAGGCCGAGCAGAGACGCGCCTCCCCTGCGGCGCAGCTGGCCTGCGCGGTTGGCGGCAGTGGGCTCTGCAGAGCGCCTGGTGCAGGAGCTGATCTTCCTCCGTATCTGTGAATGGCTTTTGAAGGGAGCAGTTGGAGGGGTTTCCTCGGGCTCTGGCAGCTCCAAACCAACAATCATAGACCCCGCAGAGGGTACTGAATAGCGGCTCTAGAGCGGGGGTGCTCAATCTCTGGCCCACAAACCAGATCCAACCCTGGCATCTTGTTATCTGGCTCGTGGGGCTCTCCACAGGGCTGTGGGGAGCCCCATAGGCCATGACCCTGCATGCTGGATCTGGTGCGCAGGGCAGTACAGGGATCGATCTGGCATGCAAGGCCAGGAAGATGTAGCATGGGAGCCAAGGCATTGATCCTGGCGCGCACAGCCTGGTGGGGGTTGCATGGGGTCCTGGCAAAGCACAGTCCAGATCCAGGTGTGCAGGCCTAATCCTGGTGTGCAGGGGCCAATCTGGCCCACAGGCTGGTCCTGCACTGCTCGCTTACCCTGCGGTGCCAGAAGGTTGTGTGCCAGTGCTTTTGACACCAGTTCAGCACTCTCCCTCTATAGCATCCACTTCTGCCGCACATTGGCAGGATACAGGGCTAGCTGGACTGTTGGTCTGCCCCAGCCTGGCACTTCTTGTCCTCAACAGAGCACATCTTTTGTTGCACAGAACTCAGAAAGATCACAACAGGCCAGGATTTTGAGGTTTATCTTGTGAAACCAGTTGGCACACTTACTAGTACTAAGGTGTGGCACCCCATGGCACTCCTGAAAGGATGTCAAAGCACCCCAGGGTGGCCTGGCACCCTGGTTGAAATCACTGATCTGTGCATTTGCTTAACATTGCTATCATGTGTAGTCCCACCGAAGTCAAACAGGTATTGCACCCTACTAAATTTAAAACAAATACTGGAGTCCTTGAGGAACTGGAACCAATGTTGACAGCTCTAGCATTTAAGGCTTGTGCCAATGTATAGGAACATGAAAGCAGCTCATTAGGAAAGGTTTTCATAGAGAAGTGAGTGAAATGCAAATGTAACACACATAAATAATGAAAAGTGAATTAAGTTGCAAAAGTTCTGTGTCTAGACTTGAAGGTGATCCTTGTGGAACTGATGTGTGAATTTCCCGATACGAAGAGTGAATTCTTGGTTTCACTGAAGTCAATGGCTAAATTCACAGGACCAGTATTTTGCGCATTAATTTGCCAGTGCCACTTTAAGACTGTCCCACTAGGCTTTTTAATGTTTAGTGCCTACCAATTCTTTTGTATTTTAATATTCAAATAAAAATGTGGGTGGTGCTTTTGTTCTTGACAACTGAAAAAAACTAAGAAACCCACTGCTCAGGCTTGTTTGCCTACTGTTACATTGTAAAAATCTGAGGAAATGTGTGCCATTTTGTTGGTTTATAGCATTCCACACAACAATAAATCATAGCATTTTTGGTGTTGTGTCACAGTGTCTGGTTCCAGTCGTGCGATGCAATGCACAGATCCCCATATCCGCTCAGCACCAACTAACTGGCAAAGTTGCTTGTGCCTTAGGAATCAGGAGGACATGATAATACTCAACAAATAGGTCTCCTCCCCAGCAGAAATGATTTAAACTATGGGAAGGAAGGGGAAATATTTCAGGTAATGCAAAGAATATAAGAATTAGAAATAATAATGGGATAAATTGGAAAGGAAAACGTTTAGGGTCAGGTGCAAGACAAACCTTCCTAACAGTAAGATCTATGGCTCTCCAGAGCATGGTGGAAAGAAGCCCTAAGTACAGGTTCTCTTTACAATGAGCAAGACAGATTACTTTTAGTTCACTAAGGCCTGACAATGTGCTGTGCACTGCACAAGGCAGAAACTGAAGCAGTCTGTGCTCCGGAGAAGTTGAACTCTCAAATCCTGATCTTGCTAACAGGTGTGTGCCTGCAAATAGCTCCGGAGCTGCTCCTGGACCTGATCAAATCGACCAGCCTGCACTGCCACCGCCTCGTTGGGTGCCACAAGCGATAGGGGCCGGGCTGAGCCTCCGGCCTCCCCCTGCAGCGCCGGCTCCGAGGAGGGCTTCGTCCTGGCGGCAGCGGCCAGCAGCTCCCGGCTGGCGAAGGAGTTGAGCTGACATCTGTTGGGAAACCTTCACGTCCCAGAGCTGCTCCGGCCCGGCGGGCTGCGCAACACCTCGGGCCCCCGGGGCAGGGAAGTGGGGGCGTCAGGCAGCTCCGGCCGGGGGTCCAGCCCCCTGCGAGCGGCGGCTTTTGGCGCTGCCCCCCCGGGCCCGGCGCGGCGGCAGCGAAGGGGTTAGCGCAGGCTCCTCCCGGGCGCGGG